ATCACCTAATGTCCTCTTGCATCAAGAGAGAGAATTATTAAATTACATCCATTGTTCAACATCCAACATTCCTTAAACAATCAAAGTTAATATCAACCAATGATCAACATTTGATGCTCGTAATTCCAATCGCTTGGCATTTGGTCAGTCTGATTGCACATCATCGTGATGTGAACTCTAATACCTCAAACTTCTCTTTAGAATATGATATGAGACCTCTTCCATTGTCCACATTTATTAAACATATCTCATGTGAGCTTTTATAAACTTATTTGTGTTTGTGCGTGATTTCTTAGATAATACTAATACATAAACACTTCATATAATTTCACAAATATTTCAAAACACATCAAAATTATGAAATCACCTAATGTCCTCTTGCATCAAGAGAGAGAATAATTAAATTACATCCATTGTTCAACATCCAACATTCCTTAAACAATCAAAGTTAATATCAACCAATGATCAACATTTGATGCTCGTAATTCCAATCGCTTGGCATTTGGTCAGTCTGATTGCACATCATCGTGATGTGAACTCTAATACCTCAAACTTCTCTTTAGAATATGATATGAGACCTCTTCCATTGTCCACATTTATTAAACATATCTCATGTGAGCTTTTATAAACTTATCTGTGTTTGTGCATGATTTCTTAGACAATATTAATACATTAACACTTTATATAATTTCACAAATACTTCAAAACACATCAAAATTATGTGCAAAAGTTGTTCTATTAGTTCGAAAAAAAATAGAGAAAAATAACATTATTAGATTTGAGACTGGACTTTTAGTCAATATTAGAAATATTTTTCATTAGAATATTAAGAAATAATTTGTATTATAGAAGGATAAAAAAACAAGTTAACATATATAAAAACTAAAAAATAAAATAAAATATTTAAGATATTTTTATACAACAAACATCCAAAATATTTAAATAATATTTTAACTACCTAAATTGTAAATATAAAATTTTAATCACCTAATATTTTATCCAAAGTTAAATTATTTAAAATTATATTTAATATTTAAGATAGTAATATTTTGAATGATTGATAAGCAAAGAAAGAATCCTTGTTAATTATTGTGAATGTCATTTGGGATGGGATGTTAAAGCGCCTTCTTTCCCATAAACCCCCAAAACGGCGCTATTGGTACGCCGAGGTGGTGCCATGGCGATGCGATTACTCGGAAGGCGGTGGATGCAGCAGCTGAAGGAACAGCGCGTGATTTTCTCTAACTCGCACTTAACCTCCTCCTCCTTCTCGCCGGCAACTGCAGAGACTGGGTTATGGACTTGCGGCCGTGGTGATAAGAAGACAAAGCGTGGGAAGCGTTTCAAGGGTTCGTTTGGGAACGCGAGGCCGAAGAAGGAGAAGAAGATCCAGCGGATCAAGGATAGGATCGAGGTACCCAGGTCGACCCCTTGGCCCCTTCCCTTCAAACTCATCTGATCTAATCGCTTTACGCAAGAATATTCTAGGAGCAGGGGTTTGGTTTTAGCTTATCATCGATATGAACGGGTTTTGCTACGAACACCGTATCATATGTGTATTTTGTTAGGTTTGAAGCGGGAGCTGAAGGTTAGGGCAATGTCTGCTGTGCCTTGTGCGAAATTTCTAATTTCTTCTTTTATATGTACTTTTTTTTCTAACTGGAGACTCCAAAATTGCTTCTTCTGTGGCTTTAAGCTATGAAAATCTTTTTTCAACTTGTGTGCTGGTGTTCAACTAGGATTCAATGGATTGATAAACTTGCAGATCATTAATGCTCTGTTTGGCTGACAAGGATTTGAGGGAATGGAATGATTAGGAAATATCAAATCAAGCTCTGCTGTCTCCTATTCAACTAATTCATTTTTATTTTTTACTTTTATTTCCTTAACTTGCCTACAACCTAAACGGACCCTAAATATTTTGAGAGTCATGCAGCTGGAAAAAATATATTTTTTTTGTCAGTTGAATTTTTGCACTTGTTTTTAACTTTTGCAATTCTTTTTTGTAGAGTTATTAAATTCATCAAGTTTACTTTTTTGTTGATTCTTAGATGGAATTCAGAGCATTACTTTCCCTTAATTCATTGAACTACATAGATTTTCCAAAAAATATGCTATACTGAATGGCATTAGGTGTTCATTTTGAGTGTAATTATGAATATGATTTGAAACTTATTGCAAACAATGTTTCTTCACTGAACTTTGGAAAGGTAGTGTTAAGCATACCTAGTTTGATGGATTTAAGTATCTCGAATTATATATTGAAGAGTGAGGTTATAGATAAAATTGTTAACTTCAAGTGTTAGGGATGCCTGGTTTAAGTGGAGCAGCAATAAGAGGTCATTAGGGAATCTTATAAGGGAGGGCTTTGAGCAGTTATAAACCAGGTCTTGTATAACATGAAGGATTTGGGTTCGAATCACATAAACAACATCTTTGAAAATACTAGGGCACGGTTGCTTGAATCAACACTTCCCAAAATCATTCATTGATTAGGCAGCCTGTTTAAATATCATATAGACTTAAAGGTATGTTTTATAAAATTACAATTAGTCTACTTTTGCTATATGAATTTGAGTGTTGGATGATAAAGAAATCATTAATAGTTAAGTTGTGTATGAAAAATTGAGTTTTCTAAGATGGATTTGTGGAAAACTGTTAATTATAGATTGAGAAATGATTATATTAGAGGAATTGTAGGTTTATACTAAGATAATATATTGGAAAATAAATTTAGATGCTCTAAACATAAAAAAAAAGCAACAACAAGAAGCCTTTATCCCACTAAGTGAGGTCAGCTACATGAATTCTTTTTTCTTCATTGTGTTCTATGGAGTATCATATTTTCATTTTACTCTAATTAATTAAGATGATTTTTAGACATGTTAAAGATCTTTTTAGGTCTATCTCGACCTTTCTTAACAAAAGTCGAATTTAAAAGATCCACTCTACTAACTGGATCAACAGATGGTCGATGTTTATTATGACAACCATCCAAGACAACTTTCTCTAATCTTGTCAGCCATTGGAGCTACACCAACCCTTTCACAGATATATTAATTTTGTATTTTGTCTCTAATTGTATAGTCACTTATCGACCCAAGCATTCTCATCTCAGCAACACTTAACTTAGTTTTATGCTTCTCTTTTATTGACCAACATTCTGTGCCAAAAAGCATTGTAGGTCTCACCACCAACTTATAAAATTTTCCTCCAAGTCCAAGCGATACTTTTTTATCACACAATAGGCCCGATGCATTCCTCCACTTCAACCATTCAACTTGAATTCTACAAATGACATCCTCATCTATATCACCATCACTTTGAATAATAGACCTGAGATATCTAAACACATTTCTTTTAATGGTTTGATCACCCGTCGTTACAACTCTGCCACTAGATCTACTACCACTAAAATTATATTGCATGTATTCAGCTTTAGACTTACTCAAACAAAGGCTTTTAGACTCTAAGGTAGACCTCCATAATTCAAGTTTTTTCCAAACTCTTTCTCTAGTCTTATCCATAAGAACTCATAAGAAGTATATTATCAGCGAAAAACATACAACAAAGTACATCCTCCAATAAATGTCCAATAAGTGCATCCGTAACTAAAGCGAAAAGATATGGGCTTAAAGCTAATCCCTGATGTAATCCAAATGAAATTGAAAAATACTTGGTCAATCCTACTGTTCGAACACAAGTAATAGCTCTAGTATACATATTTTTGATAACTTGAATATAAGTCATATCAACACCTTTCTTTTCTAGAACTCTCCAAATGACTTCTTTTGGAATCTTATCGTAAACTCACACCTTTCTTTTCTAGAACTCTCCAAAGGACTTCTTTTGGAATCTTATCGTAAACTCTTTCTAAATCTATAAAAATCATATGTAGATCCTCCTTACTCTCTTTGTAATTCTCCATCAAACCTCTCAATAAATGTACAAATTTCATAGTAGATTTGCCCGGCATATAAAACAAAAAGAAAAAAAATACCACTAAGGTGGGAAGTCTTATAAAGAAAATTGGTAAATCAATTATACTATTGAGAGATTGCAAAAAAAAAAAGAAAGGATTTTTTAACGCCAACTTCAAATTGTTGGGATAAAGCTAATGATGATGATGATAATAATATTGATAATGATGATAGTTGTCGTTACATAATGTCCTTTTTGGGATGAGATGCACAAAGTCATGCACACATGCTTGAAATTCACAATTCATATTTTTCTAGTTTAGATGGAATTTGATCCCTTCAAATGGAAATTAAAAAGATGCAAAATATGCACACCTGATAATCTATTGGTCTTCTATTGGTAAAATTGCATTTAATTTTAGCAACATAAGAAAATCACATGATTGATTGAAACTTATAATGCAATAAAAAAATAATATTGCACCTGATTTGACTATAATCGATCATGAAAGCTAATAAATCACAAAATTAGATAATATAAATAGAGAAAATGAATGAACTGACCAAATGGCATTCTAGAGCACAAGTTAGAAAGAATACCATCCAAGTATCCAACACTTTCTTATGTAGTCATATACATCTTGTGCTAGAAGTAATTAAATGATGAAATTGTATCAATTATTGTAGTTAGATACCAATGGTATTTTATGCGATGGCATGATAGGCTTGCTTGTGATGAATCGTGGATTACTCTACTAGAACCACAGTAGTCTTTGGCTAGATTTTCTTTAGGAATAGCAATTGTTCAGTTTGTCGAAGCCAAACATTTTCAAGCTAGACAAAATTGTTACAAGCCTTCAAAGTTTCAGTTTTTCTTTTCTTTGCTCTATGTTACAATTTGTATATGAGATTTCTATTTGGTAAATATTAAATT